AACCACTTTACATAGAACCTACCTTCTATTGCTATGTGAAGATGAACCGGATTTCTGAGATAGTATGGTAGTTACACGAAAAGCTTATGACTGCTTAAATACTTATAAGAATGCGTCTAATATTATTAGAACATTGAATTATCGTTTTCCTTTAAGCAAACAAGTTAAATTCATTAAAACCACCACAATGTCTGCGGATAAGACTGATGATATGAATGTGGAAATTGTAAAGGAAGATACAGGCCTAGAAGAAGAACAGGAGCAACATTGCCTGCTTTTTCCTACTTATGCTACTAAACATAGTCTCGGTAGTTATATTTTTATTTTTGTTGAAAATAATTCCATAGCATACAAAAACGGTGTGGGTGGGTTACCCCCCTAATAAGTCCAGCAATTTGAAATTAGAATTATACATTCCCAATTGGAATCTATAAATCTAAAATGTTCCAATTTATGGATTCAGTGGAACAGTGCTGGACCAAATTCCCAGCACCGAGTACAAAGCAATTTCAATATGTTGATATGATAATTTCTTTTGTTTAAAAGAGGAGGACTCTTCTAAACCTGCTAGGCTAACCGATGATTGGAATATCCGTATTCGAGGTTGGGCATTTTCTTCTCCGAAAAAAAGCAGAAGTCGTGACCTTTTTATAGGTAAAATAAATAAATAAATAAAAATAAATAAAATAAAGATGAATCATTAAATAAATAAATAAATAACGTAAATTGTTGAAATTGGTCGACAATTTCAGGGCTTGCATCACGTATTGCAGGCATTAAACAAGCTGATGCTAGATACGAACTCCTCAAAGATCGTACTACATTGTTCTGGGCGACAAATATAGATAAAGAAGAATTCATGGTTAAAGTAGTTGGATTAACCAATTCTGATAAAATGACCATTGAAGGTGATCCTAGTGACCCCCAAAAAACTCCAGAAAAGGTATTGAATACTGTGAATGAAAAGATTAAGGAGCAGATTAAACATCCCGAGAGTGAGAAGTCCTTTATGGTTTTTAAACCTCATACCGGCAACTTCAGCGGAGATCTTTCTATTAAACGAGATATAATTAACAAATGGATTAGAGAAGAGAGTCCTAAAGATAATTCACTTGTTGGAGGAATCATTGGACTATTCGTCGGGAAAGATCCTAAAGAAGAAAAAAATCCAGTTAAATTGATTAAAATCGAAGCACGTCGACATAATAAGCGTAAGTCATATATACATATTTTCTTGATTTATGATTATCATAGCAATATATTACCAAGAATTACATAATCATTATAATGTAATCTTGATTAGCTGATGCATTAGCTATTCCAACTTATAGTATTGTTAATTTGGTCGAACCTGAGGGATACTCTGTAATTTCGGTAAATATTTATACATTGTTAATACCCTATTAATTGAGACTCCTAGATTATAAACATTTGAGTTTTGTTTTAGGATATTGATGACACGATTAAACTAACTGAAATCTTGGATGGCGCGAGAACCGTCTTTTCTAACACGTTTTTAAACGATTGCAAAGCGGTATGTTTATTTATTTATTTATTTATTTGTATATACTGTATTTAATATACAAATAACTATATTTAAACTTTTAACTATACTTTTTTTTTTCATTTGAAAGGTTGATAAAATTCCCGATTTATATCATAAATGGGTGATTATTAATTGAAAAAAATTCAATTTATTGACCAAAATTTTTAAGTGAATTATTAAAATTATCTCTATATTAGTATAATGCAGGTGCAGCTATCCATTACGTGTCTAATTCACCTTGGCAACTATTCCCAATGTTACGAACTTTCTTCGATACTTTCAATTTCCCCCCTGGTTCTGCGCATCTTAAATTTTACGATGGTTTGTTCAAGAGTGCGCGTGAACAAAAACAACACCCAATGGAAAGCAAATTCGTATATATAAGAGAACTTCTTAGAGTAAATATCTTGTTTATTTTTTTTATTAATTATAATAATTTTTAAATATTAACTTATTTTTAAATATTAACTTATTTTTATTATTAACTTATTTTTAATTATTAACTTATTTTTAATTATTTGTTCTTAAGGATTTCCCTCAGCGCAAATTTATTCTTGTCGGCGACACGGGAGAATATGATCCAGAAATGTAAGTTATCAAATTAAAAAATTAATGTTTAGTTTTTTTATTGAACTCATTAACATTGGTTTTTATGTATTTAAAATAATTTCAGTTACTCTACAATTTATCGAGAGAATCCAACTCGAATTCTTCGCATCTTTATCAGGGATGTAACTACAGAACATATAAAAGATGAACCGGCACAATCACCACATCTTTCTTATGCACAAACGTTCACATCAACATATAAGTATATTAAAGATTATTATAAAAGTCCAGAAGGAAAAGCTGAATATGAAAGTTCAGAAGGAAAAGATGAAAATGAAAGTTCAGAAGGAAAAGATGAACATGAAGATGATGATCATGATGACCAAAAAGATGAACCACATAAGCCGAAACGCCAAAATAGTTTATCTTCCCGTTTTATGAATAGGTTACATGTGGATATGTCTTCTATATATACGTCACTTTCTTCAAGTGCTCATCCTGATCATAGACATGAATTACCAGCTGATGTACAAAACGAACAGACTGAACAAAAGAGAACTCCATTGGAAATGTTTCATGAGAGAATAGAAAAATTAAAGAAAGGAATACCAGATGGTATTTTTACAACTTTTGTGGATCCCGATGAGTTAGAAAATGATCCTACTATTAAGAACGCATTAAAATATTAAGATATTGATGCATATGGTTTAGTCGGATTTTCTACATTGTATTATATTAAATAACTTGAGCATATTTATTTATTTATTTTATTTTTATTTTTTTATTTTTATTTTTTTTATTTTTGTTTTTTTTATTTTTATTTTTTTTATTTTTGTTTTTTTTATTTTTGTTTTTTTTATTTTTGTTTTTTTTATTTTACCTATAAAAAGGTCACGACTTCTGCTTTTTTTCGGAGAAGAAAATGCCCAACCTCGTGT